TTGCATCCGCTTTCCCATTAAGATGGTGTTGCAGCGAATGAAAAAGATGGTAATCTGATGGTGCCATATCTGGATAATATGGCAAGTGGGGAGAACTTACCAACCCAACTCCATAATCTTGTGTTGCGTCAAATGTGCCACATATGGATGTGCATTGTCGTGGAGAAGAAGAACACCTTTCCGATTGACGAATGAAGGGCTTTTCTGATAAAGGGCTTGATTGAAACGTTCCAGTTCCTGACTATAGATCTCTGCATTGACAGTTCACTGTGGTTTGAGGAGTTCAAAATGAATTACTCCTTTGATGTTCCACCAAAGCAAAGCATCATTTTCTGTGTATGGAGTCCAGGTTTTGGGGTTAGAAGTGGTTTTTATCTAGGACTGAGTCATTGTTTTTGGCATTTAATATTCGCATAGAGAATTTATTTTTTATTACCGGTGACAATTCTGTCCAAAAATGGTTCACGCGCATTACGGGCCAGAAGAGACGAAGCAATGTTCACACGTTGGAAACAATGATCATTGGTGAGATCATGAGGCACCCAAACACCTTCTGTATGGAATTTTCCCATATTTCTTAGATGTTTACATATTGTTTCATGAGAGACATGTAATTTCAGAGCCATTTCATGAGTGTGTTGCCTTGTGTTAGACTCAACAAGCATTTACTTCCAACATGTCAGCCTCTGTCATCACGGTTTTTAAGGTTAAATCACCTGAAAAATTTGCTGAACCATCATTGGCACTTACGAACATTCAAAACATTTCCATAAACTTCTTTGATATTTTGTGTAGCTATAAAGGCATTGTTTCCCTTCTGGTATTCAAACAGCATTACATGCCGAATGTGTGTCTCGTCGTGTGCTATCACTATAAAGGATTAGAGTATTCTAAACTTTACACATTATATAGGCTACACTAACATGACGTTTATGTGATTCGTTTAACTATTAGACGTGATGTACGTTTTTTGGGAGGTGGTTAATGAAAGTGTTCCAAAATGTGACATTAATTTCTTGACGACCTAATATGTATTATTAAAAACACCTAAATTTTTCCTTCTTAAATTATATTTCTGTAAAACAGTTGCATAAACTTTTGCATGAAGTGCTGATTCGTAAATCCCTATCAATATATTTCATAATAATAACCATCAAAGTTCCACCTGTGTGTGAGACCATAAAAATTCACTTGTGTTATTCCCAACCTGAATGGTATTATTTATTAACTTCCTTAAAATGACTTAATAACTTACTATTTTTAAGATGTATTTTGAATTTCAGATTAGCAGTATTCATCAGCTTATAGATGTTTTAGGTATTTATTTTTTTAGGTTGCTGAACAGAGATTTTAAATTGTTTCATTTCTTTCAGCTCCACCAAAGACTGGCAGCACCTCTAGATCAACAAATATATCTGTTGTAAGTAAAAAAATGTTACAAATTTTTATTGCACATAAAGCAAATAGTATTCTAAAGTTAGAAAAAACATATCAAGATTATTTTCTTCATATAATTTCTTAATATTTGAAAATTTATCCATTTATATTTATCAATTGTAATTGGATAAATAGAAAGAGAAACCAATTAAAGTGTTATGAAAATTAAAAAGAAGTAAGCTCACAAAATATAGATTTGGTAAATAAAGTATAAACATTGATTTATAGAAAGTGTTTTAATAGTTAACTATAAGATACTTCATCTAGGTGACACACAAATACAGTACCCTAAAACCCAAGCACTTTCAAAAAGGTGGACCTTTCTTCTTCAGGGTCATAGGGTATTGTATTTTTGTGCTAAACTGATTTCCTGAACCTACATGTTTTTCTGATATCATCTAGGTAACATATATTTCTAACTTGTTTTGCATAAAATAAACAGTGAAACAAAATTAGAAAGTCTTCTATACTTTACAGCTGTTTTCCATGTGGGCCTGATATCACTAAATGAAAATTCTTAATTTTTTTGCAAAAAAACAGTCATTTTACCTATGAGAGAATTTAGATAAATAGTCTAGGGGGAGTGAGCTGGGTTTTCTGATTTTGTTCAATACCCTTTAAGAAAAAAAAGATATTATTTGATTTTCTGGAAGAGATTACCTCCCTTGAACATTTTGGTGTATGTTGTAAACACAAGTTGTAGTAGCAGTTCCTTCTGTGAGCCTTTGAACCATACAGCTCTCCGAAAAACTGCAAAAGTCTAATGGATTTTCATTATATCATTCACGTACGAATACTTTCAGTCATTAATATTCAGACAAATCCTGTGTAAGACCTCATTCTCTGATGTAACACAAAGACATTCACAAAGCTCTGAATATTCATAAGCTTTATTAAGCCTTGTTGGTATGTACAAGTGTGTAGTTAGTCTGCTATTTCATACAAGTAGTGGACTTTCAGATAACAAAAGTGAATATCAAACACACTAAATTTAATTTTATACAAAATCCTTCTGCTTGGAAATAAACATTAACAATTCTATATACAACCTGCCAAGAAATGAAATAATAGTAAAGGCTGTTGTACTTTTATTTACTGTAATGAAAAGTAGGAATTGACCTGTTTCTAAAGTACACTGAATATATGTATATGTGCTGCAGAAAGTCATTCATAAGCTTGACATAATAAACCTAATGAAACTAATCTGTGTATGTTAATTATATTCATATCAAACATGGTCTTAAACATGCAACATGTTACTAATAATCTATTTTTCTTACAGCCTGCATGTTTACAGACACATTAGTTCTACATCAACAAGAAAGCTTTTAGTCGTGATGGTACATTGTTACTACAGTATAAAATTCATTACTTCTTGAGTACAAAATGCTCCTACTCCAAAGTTAATGTTAAAGTTTAGCTTGAGCACATAATGAGAGACACCCTCAATGTCTCATTGCTCATTTAATCCAAATATTACTTTGTTCAATCTGTTTGTATTATATTAGGTAGTGGATTGTTTTGAAGTAGAGTTCAGTGTATTCTTAATCCAAGATTTGATTAGAATAGATTACTTGTCAAAGTAGACAGGAAGGGAGTTGCTTAAATCTGTATCTAGTTACTTTTAATTGTGAATATGTCCCACTTCTATAAATTACAACATTGCAAATTTGTTACCTATTCGTATGAGAATGATATTGAGTAATAAAGTGAAATTAGTTTAAGCCCTTTTATACCAAATAAAACAAAAAACTCTTGACTCCTTCTACACAAGATAGTAAAGTATTGATGAAGAGTATTATAAATTACATTTTCCTTGTATATAGAAAGATCTCCTATTGTATGTTCACAAATGAAATTGAGGTGAAAATAGAGTCTTACCTCATTTCACACAAAGCTATCTTGATCTTCTTTCTGCCCCCTAAGCATTGTTAAAAAGATTTTAACATTCAGTGCACCAGTTTATATACCCCACAACTTTTGCATCACTTATGAAAATGTGTATAGCATGTGACCACCCTTTACCAATAGTATTGCACCACCTATATTGGTGCAGCTATCTCCCTCTGATTTTCCTTCTCAGTCCTCACTTTATCGATTGGCACAGCATCGTTTAGATGTGTGTACTTTGACCTTTGGTGCCCTGGGTGCATTATAAACATGATGGTACATTATATGATTAGTGTGTCCCAAGAGTTGGTGGTGGATGCTGTTGACTTGCTGCTTTCCCTGTACTCTGTTAGTTCAAAATTAGTGACTGCTAGCACAAAACTTAAAAATTGGTCAGTAGTCCTTCCTGGAAAACTTTTCAATAGGCTGAACTTTCTGCAGAATTCCTGTAGCCTACAAGTCTACACAGTATAATTAAGAAGTATACACACGTTGACATGAAATACAATAAATATGCAGAGGTTGAATATGTTATATTAAAATAATTTGGAGCCTCATTCTGTAATGTTCTATCTGATGGATATTCATCTTGATAATAGCCCTTGAGCATAGTTTCCATTGCAAAAGGCTATGGTAAGTATGTCATTTCCAAAGCATACCACATCTCCTTGCTTGTTTTACCATTGCTGACATCCACTGTCTGACAGCAGAGAATTCCTAGGTTTGCATCTGGTGACTTGGCCAGTATGTTTTTATACAGAATAATATGGATACCTGTTTCATTCTCTAGCTGCTTGAGGTGTACAACTGTTGAATGGATATGTCATGAAAGAACACATAGATGGCTTTTGCTACTGAACTTTATGTTTGTAGATTCTTGCCTGTTACAAGAAGCCACACTTTACTTACTGTAGCTGGGGTAGTATTTGTTACAGGTCTCTTTCTGGATTGTCCTGGTGCCCCAAGTTGATTCCTATACCTTTGTTTTCTAATACCATTAAGTACAATGGATATCCACATGTTGGAAATTCTAAATTCTCAATCCAAACATGTCTTTATAATCTAAGTTTATTAACATTGTTCATCGGAAATGGCTGTTACTTACCCTTCCCAAAAGCAATTAGTTTTTGGTGGCATCACACTACCTATGAAATGCTAACCAATGTCAAAATATAGTTGTGGTAAATTCTGTTTTACCACAACTTTATATCAGCTGTGGTTATCATGTGACTTGCTGATTTGTATACTTAAAATTGCTTATAATGTACTGAACTTATAATGTATAGCAGCTTAATCTTAACAAAGAAACCATTGCATAGGATAATTTCTCTTGTGCTGAAAGATTTTGTTGTGTATACCTTAAAAGTTTATTTTAAAGCAAACTCATAAGAAGGAAAAAAAAACTAATTCAAGTCTTGTTTTGTTTCTTAAGGTAAAGAAGAAGCCTTACCCAAGTTTATTTCAATTTAAAAACAATGCTCAAAGTGATTTTTCAGTTTCAGTTGTCAAGTTTTAGTCTTCAGTAGCAACTGTCATAACTTTGTATGCATGTTGATCAATTTAAAAATCAAACAGTCAACCTCTCTTCTTCCATAAAAATGTATACATGTTGACATGCATACATCAGCAAAATACTACAGTAGACAAGTATTCCTTTCATAGACACTGGGTATATTTTATATGAAACTAGATAAATGATGAAAGCTAGTATTGCTCATTACCTCAGTTCTCAGCTTTTCATGATATTAATATGTGATATGAACTAACATATTTCAATTACAATAACTTTAAGTTGTGTAGGTTTTGCAACAACAAAATGTAAAATAACTTTTGATTAAGTTATTACAATAACAATTCAGATGCATTCAATACTACTGAATTAAAACTATTGAAAATTTAAAATATTTGTTTTACTTTTGTTTGAAGGGACCATCGTTACTTACATACAGGGTTGACAAGCTGGTCAAGTGACTGATCAAATAATGTCAAATGACTGGTTAAATAATCTAAAATCTGTGTTAAATACTGTAAATACCTGCGTATTAGCCAAGTTTTTTTTGATTATGTTTTAGGCCTTAAAGCTTCTCCTCTTCTTATTGGCAAGTCTTGGAACTACACTCCTACTAATAGAATTCAAAATGATCTCAAGTGTTCAGTTCAAACAATGTTTGTGTAATTTATATTATATCCTTTAAATTAAGTAAATTCAATATATGTAGTTAAAATGGAAATAAATAGTAAAGTATTTGATCTTTCAGTTACTTTTTTTTTTTTGGCCATTCAAATGTCCAATGCTGCCTGTGGTATGTGTAAGTTCATTGTAGAATTTTAAAGCTAGGACCTATAGTCTTCATTGTA